TCACTCCGGATCCGAGACGGGGATCTATCCATGACCACGGCCTCGGGGTCGAGTCTCGGGGGCCTTGGCGGGCGGTGGATACGGATTTGGATAAGGAGTTTGGTATACATATGTACAAATTTGTAGTATATATACATATATATATACATATATATATATATATATGTATCGGAGTAGGCCGGGGGGGCCAAGAACTGCTGCCTCAGGTTCGCATGGGGGGCCGGGGAGGCCGCGGGGGCTCCAAGAGGGTTCAGGGGGGGCCCCAGGCCCCCCCAGAGGCTCAGCTAGCTGGCTCAAGAGGCGCCCAAAGCGCCCCAGGTTGCCTTGAAGGTGGCTGAAGAGCACACTGAGATAGCTTCTGGACGGGCCACGAGCGCTCGAAGACAGCCCAAGACTGCTCCTAGACGGTCAAAGGCATTCAAGAACGTGCAAGAGGACGCCGAGAAGGCCCTCCAAGAGCAACAATCTAGCATTTCCGATTGGAAAACGTATATTTCTTGGATAGTTGCTTTCAGTCCTACCAGCGGCCGCGACGGCCCCCAAAGTGAACTCCAGACGACCCAAGAGGCTCCCAGGAGTGCCCCCAGGCGGCCTGAAAAGAGAGCTTCAAGCGGCACAGAATTTTTTCGGTCGGCGGGGCGAGAGCGAACCTCTTCTGCTAAAAGCTAGGCGGGCTACGCACAGCTTTAATCCGGGAGATAGGGCACAGGCGGGCGGGGCCTCAGGCGGCCAGAGTGGGCGGGGCCAAAACTATCGCTTCAAGCGGCACAGAAGAGCTCCAAGACAACCCCAGAGAGCCCCCAGGAAGCCCGAAGGGGCCACCAGAGGATTCCTACATGGTCGGAGAGGGGCCCCAAAAGGGCCCCAAGACGGGCTCGGGCCCCCATGACGGGCGAAGAGGACCCCGGAACGGCCGCACTGGGCTACCAGAGTTTCCAAGAAAGGCCCACCAGGACTCCCTGAAGACGGTCCAGGAGGCCGCTGAGAAAGCTCCGGGTGCAAAACATGAGCATTCCCCACGGATAAAACGTTACGTAATTTCTATGGTATTGGTTTCTTATGTTCCATCGGCGGCCACGTCGGCCCCAAAGGCTCCCCAACTCGGCGCCACACGGTCCACGAGGCCTGCGAGAGCGCTCCAAGACAGCCTCAAGAGAGCGTCGAGCAGCACAAGAGAGCTTCAAAACAGCCCGAGAGAGTCCCCAGGGAGCCCGAGGGAGCCACCGGAGGATCCCCACATGGTCGTAGAGGGCCCCATGAGGGCCTCAAGACGGCTCAGTTACTCATGACATTATAAGAGGGACTTGGGACAGCCAAAATGGGCTCCCAGACGGGCCACAAAAAGCCCAAAGGACCCCCCCACGACTGTCCAAGAGGCCGCTGAGAAGGCCCTCTAAAGGCAAACATCTAGCATTCCCTATGGAAAACCGAATATTTCTGGGAGCCACGCTTTTCAGTTTTACCAGCGGTCGCGACGGCCCAAGAGGTTACCCAAATGAACCCCAGACGGCCCCAGAGGCCCCAAAAAGGGTTCCAAGATGGGCTTACGAGAGCTTCAAGCGGCACAGAAGAGCTACAAGACATCCCAAGAGAGCCCCCAGGAAGCCCGAGGGGGCCCCAGAGGATTCCTACATGGTCGGAGAGGGCCCCAAGAAGGCCCCAAGACGGGCTGAGCTCCCAACGACGAGCCAAGAGGGACTCGGAACGACCGAAATGGGCCATCAGACGGGCCAACAAAGGCCCCAAAGGACTCCAAATGAAGGCCCACAGAGGCTCCAGAGACTGCCACAATGCTTCCAAAAAGGCTCCCGGCACGCGTTGAGAGAAGAGGAGGAGGAGGACAAGGAGGAGGAGGAGGAGCACGGGAGGAGGAGGAGGAGGAGGAGGAGGAGGAGGAGGAGGTGGGAGAGGAGGAGGAGGAGGAGGAAGATCAGGAGGACGAAAAGGGGGAAGAGGAGGAGGAACATTGTTCTTGTAAGATTATCTTGTTCTCTGATTGTCTGGTTCGGGGAGGGATGCTGAGGACGAGGAGGGAAGGGGAGCGCAGTATGAAGAGGGCTCGAGAGGAGGAAGTAGGTGAAGTAGGTGAAGGAACACATGGAGGGACACACCGAAGAGCGGGGATGACAGGGAGGAGGAGGAGAAGGAGAAGGAAGAAGAGAAGGAGGAGGAGGAGGAGGAAGTGAAGGAATCTGGATCCCTTTCAGGGAAACGCCGACGATGACAAGGATGAATATAACATGATGGGAAGAGGGATAACAGGAAGAGGAGGAGGGTAAGGGGACTGCAGTGGATCGGGGATGATGACAGCAATGACGCTGATGATGATGACCGCGCCGACGACGACCAACAAGATGATGATGATGCGGACGATGATGCTGAAAAGTACGATGACGATGATGGCGATGGTTGTCAAGATGCCGTTGATTATGGTGGTAATGATGATTGTTGTGATGGTGACGGTGAAGGTGACCATGACCATGACGATGGCGATGAAGATGACGGGGATGAGGATGACACTGATGACGATGATCATGACCCTAGCTAGAACTTGAGCACGCCGCCTGGGCTAGGCGGCGCGCGGCCCGAAGGAACAATCAAGCCGCTGCGGCGGCCGTGGCGCTCGCCAGAAAGCTGGGGCACGGGCTGGTTTCGCCCAGCTGGTTTCGCCGGGGCTGATTTCGCTGGGGCTGGTTTCGCCCGACGCTGGTTTCGCTGGTTTCGCCCGACGCTGGTTTCGCTGGCGCTGGTTTCGCCCCGCTGGTTTCGCGGGACATTAAAGTGTGGTGCATAATCGAGTGGGCACGCGAGAGCCCTAACGCGCGGGTCGGGTCGGGTCGGGCGGATCCTAACGGGCGGGTCGGGTCGGGTCGGGTCGGACGGACCCTAACGGGCCGGCCGGGTCGGGCGGGCGGGACATTAGAGTGTGGCGCATATAATCGAGAGGGCACGCGAGAACCCTAACGGTCGGGTCGGGTCGGGTCGGGCGTACCCTAACGGGCGGGTCAAGCCGGGACGGGCAAGCGGACCCTAACGGGCGGGCTAGGTCGGGCGGGCGGGACGTTAAAGCGTGGTGCATATAATCGAGAGGGCACGCGAGAACCCGAACGGGCGGGTCAGGTCGGGTCGGGCGGACCCTAACGGGCGGGTCGGGTCGGGACGGGCAAGCGGACCCTAACAGGCGGGCCGGGTCGGGCACGCGGGACATTAGAGTGTGGTGCAGATAATCGAGAGGGCACGCGAGAACCCTGACGGTCGGGTCGGGTCGGGTCGGGCGGACCCTAACGGGCGGATCGGGTCGGGTCGGGACGGGCTGACCCTACTTCGTATATTTTGGGTTTTGTGCGATTTGAAAATGCATCCCCTTTGCATTGCAACGCTGTTGCAACTCAGTCGTAAGGTCATTGTAATGTAGTTGCGTGAGATACAACTCCGCATACTTCTCCAGCGTTACAAGTGTTGCAAGTGGGTTGTAATATGAAAATGTAGCTAAAGTTAATTCCCCACCAACAGAAATCAAGAAACTTGCAAACGACTTGCAATGCAATTAGAAAGATACGCGGAATACAGGAAATTAACAATAATTACAAAGCAGTTCCGTTCGGTACATGAGCTTCTGACGCTGATTTACCCGAGCGAATTTGGGTCTGCGGACGCCACGTGGCCAATGACGGCTCGCTGGGTTTCGGTCCCGTTGTCCTTCCTTGGTCGATCCTGGTCGGTCTTCTTGGCCCTCGGTTGGTCCCTCGGCAATCTGTGGCCCTTGAAACCGTCCGAGCCCCCGTCCCTTCACTATTCCCGCCCCTCTTCCGTCCCATAGTCATTCTGGCTTCAAGTCTCCCGCGTTTGCGAGTGGTCGAGGTTCCCACAGTCATCGCGACCTCGCACGCGATGCCGTTCTGCTACGAGTGCAAGGCCGAGAAGGACACAGGGGGCACGTAAGATGAGGAGGATGACGGGTAAGAGGAGGAGGAGGAGGAGGAGGAGGAGGAGGAGGAGGGGGAGGAGGAGGAGGAGGAGGAAGAGAGGGACATGAGGGGGGCGAGGACAATGGGAAGGAGGAGGGCCACAAGGCCCGGGAGGGCAGATGCGCGGCGAAACGGCGGAGGCGGAGGAAAATACAAAGGAGGAGGACTAACGAGAGACGGAGGAGGGCGAAGGAGGAGGAATAACGACAGAAGGAGGAGGATAATCAATAAGAGGAGAATTGAGAGGATTGCGATGAGGGGAAGGAAGGGGGAAAGAAGGAGAAGAGGGAGGATCACGACGAGGAGGAGACAGAAGAGAATCAGGACGGGGAGGAGGAGGAGGAGAAGGAGAGGGAGGATGGGGAGGGGGAGGAGGAAGACGGATGAGGAGGACGCGAGTAGGGAGAAGAAGGAAAAGCACGAACATGGAGAGGGTGACGGAGAACATGAGGAGGATGAGGTGGGAGCGAGGGGGGAGGATGAAGCGCGAGAAGGGCAGCGTATTTCTCGGGGCCCAAGAAAACATATTGTTTCGGGGGGTGTTTTGATGGTGTCTCCCACACGTCCGTCTTGCTTTCTCGTGCCGCCACTGCCCATCCTCCTCCGTGCCGCCCCTCCACGACACCTCATCCCCCTCCTCCTCCGCGTCGCCCCGCCCGCATGTCCCCCCCGCCAGGGGCGCGCCAAGGTGGCGCTCAAGAGCGACACCTCGGTCTCGCGCCGCTGCTCCGACTGCAACAGGTTCAGGGGCAGGCGCGATCGGTTCTTTGCCACCAACCCCATCATCAACGAGGCGCGGAGCAACCGCTCGGATCCCGATGAGTTCGGGGCACAGGTCGCGCCCCACGTGAAGGAGACCCACCAGCGCACCAGCAAGCGGAAGTTCGTTGGCCATGGCGACTTCATGGACGAGGGGGACTTGCGCGAGAAGTACAAGAACAAGCCGCAGACCGTGACCGATGGCACCCTCAAGAATGTTCCGAGGTTCTACGATGAGGACACAGAGAGGCGGCTCTACCAGGATACCAAGTA